TTTTCTTGATTAATCATAGGTTAATTTATAATGTACTTACGCCGCTGTAGAATTGGAACTCTCTACCAGATGCATCGATAGCGACACTGAGAGGCTGATGAGCCAATGCCTTCAAGAGGCTCTTCTCGTCGTTCGTAGGTACATCTTGATGCCCATTGATAGTCACCGTTTCAGATTCATCCTTTTGCATCTCGCAAGTTCCTTCTTCCATGGAGTAAGGATAATCCTCTTCCTTGCGAAGACCTCCGTTCTTGACAATGTACTCAAAAGCATAGTCCATGAGACCACCGTTGCAACCATTGTTGTAGGTTGTGTCACAGTCTATGAGTTCTTGTTCAGACAATGTCGTCAAGTTTCCTGACACAATCTTGTTTATACCTTCCACTGCAGCGACTGTTGAAAACGCCCAACAACTTCCTGCAAAACAATATCAAAAACGAAAAATGTTAAATAAACAATCAAAAACTTTGGACAAAACAGAGTCCAAGATTTGAGATTACCGCAAGAGCCTTGGTTCTTGACATAGGTCACAGCTCCTTTCTTTCTCCAGTCAACAGATTTAGGCAAAGCTTCAACGTTTTTGTAAGCAAACTCTTCGTAAGATCTTTCTTCATCGTCTCTCACTATATCAGTCTTGAGCCCTAAATACTTGCTCTTGAATTCTTCGTGGCTCAAATCCGCAAACTCGTTGAGACCAAGCCAATAGCTTTTCACTTTCTTGTTAGTCTCATCGATGTGCTTCAGATTATCCTTGAAAATTTCGAACCTAAGCAACTTCTCTTCAACGGTTTCGTAAGCTTTCTCGAAATTGGAGATCCAATTCTCGAAGAGCTCGATGAGTTTGTCATGAGATTCCAAATCATCAGGGGAATATCCGACAATGGAGTAATCGTGTGAAGCAGCAAAAGAAAGGTAGAGAGATAAGGCAAGAACGAAACAGAGGATGCTTGTAGGCGAAGAGAGAGCCATTTGAGTGATTCAAATTTTTGTTGTTGTTGTTTTTTAATAGAAAATCGAAAGAGAAGGGTTTCTTTATATAGACTGAAGATTTTGATAGATGTTGATCTCTTTGCTTTAGAGTAAAGTTGTCTGAATCTGAATCTTGTATAAAGTCTGTGTCTTTAAGCTTAGTTTTGTCTTCCCTGAGGTTACTTTGACTCCAAGTAATAATTTGTATATTTACTCTGCATAACCAGAACCCTCTGCTTCGGCTAGAAGTTCAATCCTCTGGAAGATGTATTATGATCATGCTCCTAATCAAACCCATACTGGGCCCACAGATATAGAGGTGGTGAATTTGGAGTATTTGAAGATCAATTATTCTCAAAAGCACAAACATGCAACTACTTTTTATATGAATATATTCAAATGATCAAGATGCAACCTCAACAAAAAGTGGCCCAACAAGGCAATTATGTTTTTCATTCCCAAGATTAGCACTAGATATCCGGTCACTGGCTTCTCAAAACTAAAATTTAAGGGTTTAGCGCCGACTATTTCTAGGAATGAATAGACCTTTTAACATGAGTTTCTTGCAAGTCTATCGCATTTCAAACCTCTGAATCAAAGCCCAAAAATCCAAGCAAAATTATTTATTTCTCAATGAAAATCAAACTCAGGTGCACTAAAATCAGAGAAATGCAACTTCCATTCCCTATATCTAGGCCTAACTACCACTAGGCCCTCTCGCTTGGGTTTATTATGCTCAAATGTATAGAAATCACCAATCCTATCATATGCACATTTTTTTTTATTACCTATGTATAATTGCGGCCCATATATATCACTAAACCTTTTCTAATGCAAAACTAAAACTATTCTACAAGCATAACTTTCTGGTGGAAGGAAAAGGTTGAGGCGGTGAGATTTAGCCCATTAAGTCTTTTAAAAATGAATTGTGTTTTGTGTTCCCGATTACTTTTTTTGCACCATGTCTTTTAGAAATGGAACTGTTTAGAAAGAGTATAATTTTGTTTTTCAATAACTTAATAAATCTTAAAACGGTTCAAAAACTCAAATCGAAAATTCAAAATTTACATAATAAACGATATTACAATTAGTTATTCTTTTTCACCGTTCTAATATATATGTCTAACAGTCTAAACAGGATTTGTTTTCAAAGTATATAATCAAAACATGAGATTACAGTGAAGTTTTTTTGCCGTGTTCTTTTTATATGATATTATCCTGTAAAGAACAAAGTTTGACCTGTCAATCCACCAAGATATCTTATAACAAAGTCAGGAGGATCAGGATCTTCGTTGTATCTTAAAAGCTGATTAAGCTATACATATCAAAAGTTAAAAAAAAAAAACTTATATTATTTTGATGACCACCAAAGACTTATTTTATTTAGATGATCACCGACCACTATATATATGAAGTATTAAACTAAATTAGCACCATATTTTTATGAAGTGGATCATTTAAAACATGAATCATGTAAAAGTTCAATTGAAAACTCACTGGTTCTAACTTTACAGGACATGAACTTGTATAAACGGAATAAATAATTGTTATTTCTTTTGTAGGGACAAAATCAACAAAATATTATAGAAATGAAAATTAAATAAAACAAAGCATATCATAAGATCCGTTTGAGGTGGACACACGTGGTCGGATATGTGCTTGAATGATTTGGGGGCACGAACNCGAACTATACGAAGAAAAAGACCTTTGTCTATTTTTCTTATAGGTCATTTATCTATAAATATAGAATTTAAAATGAACGTTGGATACTAAATTATCAAATTGTCATTTTGCGCAAAAAAAATTATCAACTTGAATTAGAAAAGTTTACATACATGCCATCATTGTTAAAAGAATTGAAATTTATTATCATGTATTCGTTGTCAAATATATTTTTCATATTCGAGTTATATATAATACGTAAGATAATAGTAGAGGAGAAGTAATTGGTAAGGCATAAAAAGGTACGTGAGAAAGTGACAAAGCACTAATATTATAAAATCACATGCCCTCTCATTGACACCATGTTCGTCTCCCAATACACTTACCCCATCTGTCTCTTAGTTTTGAAGTTATATTTTAATAGTAATTTTTAATAAATTTGTTTTATAGTACTAGTAATCTTTGCAATTACCTTCCAAAATATCTTTGTTTTTTTTTACCCTAAGTTTACAGTAGATCTACGGTTGTATGCGTGTGTGTGTGTTTCGTGATTTGCACGAAATGTTGTCACAAATCAACAAAATATTTGATAGAGAAGTTGTAAATATCTTTGGAATTCCGTATTTTGTTTATTACGTATTTATTGGCCATCTTATGAAGTAGCTAGTTTGATATGCAGTTATGTGTTAACCAAAAAATAAGGATATGAAGATTAAGGAAAAATAAGGATATGAAGATCAAGGAAAACAAGACCAATGAGCACGTTATTAACTTAGGAAATGTTGATTTATAACGTGGATCCTCTGTGTATTTGCATGTTCCACATTGATCCGGTCCTGTGATTTATTGAAACGTTTTCACCTTCATTGCTGTTTCTTTTTGGTCTCTTCTGCTTTTTGGATATCCTAAAATATAACCTTCAAATTGTGTTAACTTCTTAAGATTCCAACTCGATCGTGATTCGTAAGGTGAAAAAAAGTAAGAATCCGATTAATGTATCAATCTTTGAACGGTGCTATATTATTGATTTTATTGCAATAGAACGCTAGATAGTTTATAAATAAATTTTGAAAAATACCATTTTTGAAGTGCCACTTTTCAAAAATGTCATCTTTTCAAAATCTTTGCAAAAATACCACTTTTTAAATTATTTATTGATTATATTATTTATATTTGGCTTAACTATGTTGCATTAAGGTTTAGTTTTGAGTGTTTAGCGTTTGTTAAGAGGTCAATATTT